TATATTTCCAGCTATATCAGAGGGGGTGCTCTTAGTTACGGGTAACAGCAAACCTTTACAGAAAACCCAGTGTGGCTTAAATAATAAGGAAATATGAAACCCAGTGCAACTGGGAATGCAGAGTGTGGGCAAGGTCCTGACGATGGTGAAATCAGTGACTCAATGATGTTCTCACAGACCCAGGATCTCCTGTCTCTCTCTCTTCTCTGCTTTCATAAGTGTCACCTGCACTCTGCAGTTCCCTTCTGGGTTGCTCCATGGTTGCGTATAGCAGTTAAGGCCATATGCTTCCTTGCACATGTTCAGCTGAAGCTATGGAATCTAAATTGAGTTGGGGTATAATTCCCTCTCTTTGGTCTGATGGAGACAATGTAGGTCGTGTCCTCACCCCTGGACCATTGCTGTGGCATGCTCTGTTCTGATGAACTTAATGGTCAGGATTTCCCTGCAGGTGCAGAATCAAGGTTCTGTTAGGAAGGGGGAAAGTAAGTACTGGGGAGACAACCAACTGTGCCTACTACTTAAGCATGTATAGGACTTTATGTCACACATATAAAATGTAACAAAACAGTTTAAAGAAATTCCGAGGAGCACAGGAGTTTTTCCATGACGGTAAGTAACAGGTAGTCAAAGTAGGCTTTTGGAAGAAACATGGGACCTATTTTATTAACAATGGTCTGTGTTCTTAACAGAGACTCTGGGGATGTTGCAGCTCTCAGAGGGTAAGTAAATTCAGCCTGGAGGCTTCCTTTTGTTCTATTTAATCTAACTTTATCCTCTGGCCGCTCAGTCACTTATGTGGTTGGTTTTTCTCCTGTGATTCAGATCCCGGAAATTTAACATTCTGGGCACAAACACAAAAGTGATGAACATGGAAGAGTCCAACAACGGCAGCCTCTCTGCAGAATTCAAGCACTTGGTATGTACGAGGAGCCTGGACTCCCCTTCATGAAGGGCACCTGAGAGGGGGGGAGGGTAGGGGCAAGTCTCACCGTGACAGACGGCTTTGTCTTTTCTTACAGACCCTGAGGGAGCAACGATGTGGGAATGGGGGCCGAGCCAATTGTGACGTAAGTTTTGTTGGGGATGAAAGCCAACTGGGGAGAAAGAGAAAGAGCCCTTCTTATTGCCCAGAATTGGAGACATCAGCCTATTTCAGCTGTAGCCATTCAGAAAGCCAAAGTGACATGATCAGAAGTTATGTGTGCCATGGAGATCTCTGGCTTGGAGCATTTCCATGACTGTCTGGGAGTTAGCTCCTTTCTAAGGAGGAGTGGAAAGTCCCTTGCTGAGTAGATATCCACACCCATTTGGCAGAAAAGGAGCTTTCCACCTTGCCGGGGACTTTCCAAATTCCCCTTCCAACTTCTGCCAGCTGATGCTGTTCGGCGTTTTTTCACTTAGGTGCGATAGAAGGTTTAAAAGCAACAAACCTTGTTAACCATTAAAACAAACAAACAGCCTGTCTTGTTCTTTGTGCCCCTTATTTATTTTCTGCCTTTCATTGATTCAGATTATTGGATTCTTAGTATCAGGAATAAATTTTAATAGATAAATGTGACCCAAAACTAGTTATCAGTCATTTAAAAAAATTGTGACACCTGTTCTTTTTCTGATGTTTATCCCCCGAGCCATTCTTATTCTATAAAATGTAGCAGTCCTTTAAAAAAAAATAGAATTGAATTTATAATACTCGACAGTAAAGAGTGAAGTGGTCTATATGCAAAATATATGACATGTTGATTTAGAAAAAGCAAGATATAAAATATTTGTTTAGTATATTTGTTTAAAAAAGGCACTACACTGTTTATATGTATTCATATACATGTATTAAAAAATTCTGGAGGTATATACACCAAACAGTGCTTATGTATTAGTGCTGCTGTTAGTATCTGAGGCTACTCTATACTCGCTCTGTAATATTTGCATTTTAAGCAGAATGTATGACTTTTATAATCAGAAAAAGTATTTTAAAAAGGAATTAGAATTCCATTTCTGAGAATTCATTGGTAACTTATTCAAAATAAGATTCTATATTGCTGATGTGAATAGAAATTGTTACAGTCACTTTGGAAAATAATTTGGCATTATAAAAAATGAACATACCCTGTAAACCACAGTGCCATTCCCAGGATTTAACAATAGAGAAATCTTTGCACATGGGTATCAGAAGACATGTACAAAATGTCACAGTAGCCTGATTGTAAGCTCTGAATACAACCCAAATAAATACCCATCAACACTAGAATGGTTTGTGGTATAGTCGTGCAATAGAATACTATGCGGCTGTGAAAAGGGATAAATTGCAGACACAACCACATGGATTCATTTCCCATTGTATGAAAAGTGAGTCACAAGAGAATACATATTGTATAAGGTTCACAATCATCCCAAACTGAACAATACCTACATTGTTTAGACAAATAAATATGGTAAAGCTAGGGAATGATAAACCCAAAAGATAAAATAGCAGTTACCTCTGTTTGTTTTCTTTTTTTGAGACAGGGCTCACTGTCTTGCCCAGCCTGGTCTCGAACTCCTGGCCCAGGCCTGCATGACCATACCCAGCTGCAATTAGCAGTTACTTCTAAGGGAGGAGGGAAAGGGAAAGGGTTGGGGAAAGCCACCCAGAGAACTTCAGCGGTAATAGTTTCTTCTTTAAACTAGGTGGTGGTTTCACAGGTGTTCATTGTTACTCTTTGTGCCTTACACATTTTATAGTACCCTATTGGATCTATATAATATTATCACACACACTGAGTAAAAGATTAGGTTGATGATCAGAGCATTGGAAGGTCTCAGTGTTGAAGAGAGCATGTGCTCCATGGTGTGTCCCTGGCAGTTTGTCTGTGGCCACCTGGTGGCTTCCCCTTCTTGCTGTAGTAAGGCGGTAGCGTGTAGCTTTCCTCAGCTGTGGCTGTTAGCAACGAATGCCATCCTCTCTGAGGAAGAGAGTCCTTTTCATTCCTCTAGGCCTCCCTAATTGTGACCGAGGAGCTGCACCTGATCACCTTTGAGACTGAGGTGTATCACCAAGGCCTCAAGATCGACCTAGAGGTGAGTTCTGCAGCAGAATCAGCGTGGGTCTGTGTGCAAGGGTGACTCAGGAGAAAAACTTCTGGCAGGATTTTTACTAAAGAAGGTGGAATGATTACTGTTTGCTAAGTACTGTATTTATTTTTGCTTATTTTTCTCCAAAAAATTCTTGATATCTCATCTGAGAATAAAGTCCTGCTATAGTGCTTAGAAGATACATGTATACTCAGCTTTCAGCAAACTCAAGATGAAAATCTATATTTAGAAATTGATTAGGGCTGACTTTATAAAGCTTGGGCAAAAGAGTCTTAGCAGCCAATGTTTTTATATACAGAAGATCATGGTATTTATACGTTCTCTTTTCCCAACTTTCTTGAATTTTAAATTAAGATATTCCTGGAAAAGCAGGAATCTTAGTCTTTGATTTCTGAGACCTTTCTGTTTCATGGGAAGATACAGCTTCAATTCTTGGAGAATGCCTTCCGGGTCTTAGAAATAGGGACTCCATGAATCCTGGGTCAAGCTTTGAGCAAGGCAGACTTTGCAAGTGACCGTTCATGATCAGATAGCAGCCCACGTCCTGTGGCCGGTGTTCAGCATTCTCTCCATGCTGGATGTTGAGCTGGCTCAGTCACACTCTCGCCTAGAGTTGGCACCGGGTGTGGTTGGTGCTATGTCCCTTTATTCCGAGCCCTGCAAGATATAGGTGAAGAGACTTTCGAGGCAGCCCCTTTGCCTCCCCGACTCATTCCCCACTGACTCCACAGACCCACTCCTTGCCAGTTGTGGTGATCTCCAACATCTGTCAGATGCCAAACGCCTGGGCGTCAATCCTGTGGTATAACATGCTGACCAACAACCCCAAGGTTAGTGCCCCGTCCTCTTATGATCTCTTGGTACCTAGTGCAGGTCGTTAGCTCCATCTCTCATCTGAATGAGCAAATATGTTATTCTCGACAGAACGTGAACTTTTTCACCAAGCCCCCAATCGGAACGTGGGACCAGGTGGCCGAGGTGCTGAGCTGGCAGTTCTCCTCCACTACAAAGCGAGGGCTGAGCATTGAGCAGTTGACTACGCTGGCGGAGAAACTCTTGGGTCTGCATTTTATCCCCCCTCCCTCCTACCCCCCTCAGAAAAGGGATCTGGCCCGTGGGGCTGTTCATTCAGGCCATGTTTCCTGAGCATCTGCCTTGAGCAAGGCGTCAGGTTGGGGAGGCAGGGCGCAGCGGCAGTTTGCACCCCAGTGGTCATTTATATGAGGTGGGAGGCAGATTTCTTTTCTCCCGGTCTCTGTCTTCCTTGCCCTTCTAGGCTACCACTCTGTCTAACCTCAGATCTTTCAAGTGCATTTTAGAAGGTGGAGCTAAAGGCTTCACATTCCCTGTCCATTTCTTCAATAAACTGTAGGCTAGTTTTAAATTTTCCTTCCCTGGGAAAAAAATGTAGTAGACTGTTTTATGTTCTACCTGGACTATAATTAGCTTTGTCCTAATAAAGCTGCCACCACCAAATACTACCTTCTAACACTAGCCATTAGCTTGCTAGTGTGTGCTGCTGCTCCCAGCCCACCCCACGAGGCTGGGGAGAGCAGAGGGACTCGCTGCACCATCCACTACCTTTGCTGTGCTATAAAACGTGGGCAGGGCATATGATGGGATTGGGGCGTGGGGGGTATGTTTGTACACGACATACACACGGGGGCGACCTTCACATACATGAGAGCCAGTGGTGTCATGGCCGATTGTGGGACAAATGCCTGTGTGTTCTGTTTTAAGAAATACCATCTTGATTCAAAGCTGAAAATTCACTATTCTTTTCTTTTCCTTCAGGACCTGGTGTGAACTATTCAGGGTGTCAGATCACATGGGCTAAATTTTGCAAAGTAAGAAATCTTGTTAAATCCTTGGGGGTCACCTCTTGGGAGTGAGAATGCAGTCTGCAAGGTTGTCAGGGAGGGATCTGGGCTTGAAGGCCCTGAACTCTTGGTCCAGCGGTCAGTAGGACCTGCTGGAAGGTAGATGGGCCTGAGGACTGTGGTGATGCGCTGTGCCCCGAGGAAGGGAAGGGCTGGGGCAGCGGTAGCCTTGGCTTTCTCATCATTCTTTTCTCCAGGAAAACATGGCTGGCAAGGGCTTCTCCTTCTGGGTCTGGCTGGACAATATCATTGACCTTGTGAAAAAGTACATCCTCGCCCTTTGGAATGAAGGGTAGGTTGAAACTCTTGTGTCTGGCAGACTGCGCACAGGTGTAACCAAGTCTCACCCGCGCTCTCAGCAAGCCAGCAGCGGGGGGGAAAACCCTGTTTGCCCAAACAGTGTTGTTCCTCCGCTTTGGCTCCAGGTACATAATGGGCTTCATCAGTAAGGATCGGGAGCGGGCCATCTTGAGCACCAAGCCCCCAGGCACCTTCCTGCTAAGATTCAGTGAAAGCAGCAAAGAAGGAGGAGTCACCTTCACCTGGGTGGAGAAGGACATCAGCGGTAAGCTTGGCTCCCCCACCCCACCTGGCGGCTGGTGCTGCAGCCTCAGGGCTGCTACTAGTTCCAAGCACCTACTGCCCCCTAGTGGGAGGATTTGGCCTCCGGCTCCCCTGCCTCACTCAGACTTGGGGGTGACTTCTTTCCTGTGAATTCTTGCAGCTGAAGGATTGGTTTGCCAGTTTGTTTTGCTTGCTCCAGTGGTGGATGTTTGTCTAGAAATTTGCAGTTTAGCTTTTATTCTTCATCCCCTTTCTTACTTACTCTGTTAATATATCTTATGCAAGTCGTTATCTTCGAGTTTGTTGCCTGTGACCCAGCTGGATAGCCTCTTCTAAATTAGAAGGCAGCCTGGATGTTTCTATGGTGCCAGGCCACTGGGAAGGATATCCAGGGTTTCAAGTGCCAGGCTGGCCTAAGTCTTTCCCTGTCGAGGCAAGATAAAAGCAGTTTTCCCTGAGATTACCCAGCCATCTTTCCTTCCTGTATCGCATGACAGGTAAGACCCAGATCCAGTCGGTGGAACCATATACCAAGCAGCAGCTGAACAACATGTCATTTGCTGAAATCATCATGGGCTATAAGATCATGGACGCTACCAGTATCCTCGTGTCTCCACTGGTCTATCTGTACCCCGACATTCCTAAGGAGGAGGCATTCGGAAAATATTGTCGGCCCGAGAGCCAGGAGCATCCTGAAGCTGACCCAGGTAGTTGTTGATTTTCCATGTTCCTGGCATTTAATTCTTGGGAAAAGTTGAAAATTGCAGGATCCTTCAGGGATAGACTGCATAACCTGTGGAATCCTTATTCTTCCCAATGGGAAGGAACTTTGTAGTGAGTGCTTTTTGGGTTGACTAATGGGATTTGAGAGAAGAGAAGACTCAGTCACTAGTCCTGCCCCACAAGGAGTGCGTGAGTCTAAAGGGGGAAATAGTAAACACACCTCAAACATGCTTAAGACACTGAGGAGACGATGAGGACAGGGTTCCTTAGCACCAGGATGCCCAGCTAGCACAGTGCTGCAAGGGGTGAGACCCAGACCTCTGTCCAGCGTGCTTTCCCCCTTCACTGAACCGTGTATGTGGTGTCAGGTGAGCTGAAGGAACGCTCTCTGGAGGAAATGATTGTTAGCACCGTTGGAGCATGGTTCACACTAGAGTCGGGGAGCATTGTGTTTGAAGGGAAAGACTGGCTGGAGGGGCGTGGAGTTGGTATTTAGAATGTGCAGCTATTGAAAATAAGATTTCTTTTTTTTTGAGACAAGGTCTGCATCTGTCGCCCAGGCTAGAGTGCAGTGGCACAATCAGAGCTCGCAGCAGCCTTAACTCTGGGGCTCAAGGGATCCTCCTACCTCAGCTTCCTGAATAGCTAGGACTATAGGTGCACACTACCATATCCAGCTAATTTTTAAATTTTTTGTAGAGATGGAATTTCACTATGTTGCCCAGGCTGGTCTCAATATCCTGGTCTCAAGCAATCCTCCTGCCTTGGCCTCCCAAAGTGCTGGGACTATAGGCACAAGCCACTGTGCCCAGCAAGATATTTTTTAACGTGTGAGAGGATGCGTATTTATATGTTATATATGAATTATTTTACATTAAACTTACAATCTCTGGGGCTATCCTCAGTGTGGAGGGGCAGCCCCGACCTGCTCCCATTCAGCACTTGCTGCTTTGACTCTCTGGGTTCTCTGTCCAAATCCTGATGAGGAGTTTCTGATTTGTCATTCTTTGTTTTTTAGTTAACTTTTCTTAATCATAGAGCCAGTGGTGCGCTCTTTAAAGTGATCCTTCTCTGCCCCAGTTGCTTTTTAAAAAACTGTTTTTGTCCAAATAGCGTGCACACACACACACACACACACACACACACACAACCCAACATCCCTCCCACTTTTTCCAAGGAATTCCTTCCGAGGAATTTCTTGGGGTGGGGAAAGAATGAGCCTTGAAAGAGGAAATTTGAGCTAACTGACAATTGACTTTCCTTTCTCCTTTGTTCTAGTGCTGAGTTTTGTTCACGCTTAGAAGAGTGTAGCTCTCACTTCCTGTCTGCTGCTTATCTCTCTGTCCACGTGTGCTTCGGTTGGGAGATCTGTTTATCAGCCCCTGCCACACTACTTTTTGTTCCTTCTGCAGGGGACGTTGAGGTCCAAGTGCTGGTCGTTCTGACTAATTTTGCATTCAAGATCCCACCCAGGCTGAGGCCGCATCCTCCATTACCATCTCCCCTCCTGTGGGCTGGGAGGCCAGGTCCTTTTTGCCTGGAAACATCAGTGCTTTCCCAGGGGCACGGCGCTAATCACGAGAAAGGAACTGATGACTTGAGTGGTTTGCCTGCCCAGTGGAGGGCTCGGTGTGAGCCTGGCAGTGGGGTCGGCTGAGGGGCCCTGTGTTAACACGGGAATCTAAAGGGAGATGAGCCTGCGACCCTTTCTTCTCTATCTCCACTGCAAGAGTATTACGGCCCGAGAGTCTCAGAGAGAGATCCCCTCATCAGGACTCTTCTCTCCGCCCTGCTTCTCCATCGCAAGCCCACGCAGTATTTCCTTACAGCTTCAGGGGGAGATGCTGAGCCGTGTACAAGTGAGATGAAGTACATTTACAACCTTGCATGAAGCCACACATAAATCCCCTTTTAGCCTTAGTTCTTCTTTGCTTCTCCTGTCCCATCTCAGGCTGAAGCTATTTTTCTCAGCTATCTCCATCACTGGAGAATTAAACCCTTTTTTTGTCTAGGGCATCAGCTCCCCCCAGGTCTGGGCCAAAACAGTTGGATTTATAGAACTAGAACCTTGCCTCAGTAGTTCCTTTGGATTTTGCACTGACTTAATCTGTTTCTTAGCCAAAAATCACCTCAGATGGCAGTCCAAGAGCTGCTCCACGATGCCTTTTCTCAGATGGTCATCATACTTTCTTTTATTTTTATTTTTATTTTTTTTGAGACAGAGTCTCACTCTCTTGCCTGGGCTAGAGTGCTGTGGCGTCAGCCTAGCTCACAGCAACCTCAAACTCCTGGGCTCAAGTGATCCTACTGCCCCAGCCTCCTGGGTAGCTGGGACTACAGGCATGCGCAGGTCATCATGCTTTCGATCCCAAACCCCACGCTTCATGACTGCACTTCCCTCAGCCCACCCATCCTGCCCCCTGCCTCCTAAGTGGTTTGTTCACTTGAATTCCCAGATTTCATGCCAATGTCCCCAAGCCTCCTTGACCTCTTGGTGCAAGCATTCAGGGTCTAAAATTTATTTATTCTAGTCCTCACATTTCTAGCTATAGAATAGGAATTATAAATGACAGGGATCATAGACAGTTGGCGCCTCCTTCTTCCCCCTCCCTCTTATTTTATGCATGAGAGAGAAAGCTCCTTGCCCCTGGTCTCTTAGCTATTGAAGACATACTGGTCTCCTGTCTCCTACTCTAGTGGATTATACTGTACCACAAAGTCATCTTCCCTGCATATAGAGAGTGCTTTTTATTTGATGTATTTATCCAACCAGGCGGTTCTAATGCCCTCATCTAAAAAGTGATAGAGGGAGGTTAGTGCTGATAGAAGGTATAACCCTCGGCTTTGGAACCACGAGCATCAGCAGCCTCCATGTTCTCTTAAAGACGCGGGGATGCTGGTGTCCGTGCTGGACACCATGCAAAGGCTGCATAGGCTTGGCTCCTGTATGCACAGGAGTTACCTGAGAGATACGACCAGGCCAGAATAGAATCCTCAGACCACATGGAAGCGGTTAAACGTTTGCATAATCTAGGGAAAGAATGAGCACGTGGGTGACATTAGTTTAGGCTCAGGTGGAACAAGGGTGTGCTGAAAAGTGTCTGCAGCTCAGGAAAGCTTTGTGGGAGGAATTGAACTTCAAAACTGCAAGTGCCTAGGACATCAAACAGTATATGATGAGGGTGGGCACCCCTGTGGGGCAGATGGAGGTTTCCAGACAATCTTGGTGTAAGGACAGAGTGAGTTTCAAGTCAGCCCTGGTGAGGCAGACCGCTTCCTCCTGCCCTGTACTCAGAGGGAGACCACAGTCAGTAAGCCCCGTTTTCTTCTTCCCAGGTGCTGCCCCATACCTGAAGACCAAGTTTATCTGTGTGACCCCGTAAGTCCTTCCCTTCCCAACTTTGCCTTCATTTCTAATGTCCTCAGTTATCCCTGGGAATAGGACAGGGGGTGAGAGTTATCCTGTGCAGGGTTGGAAGCCCCTGGGCTATGTTTAGTACTCAAAGTGGCCTTGTGTGTTTAAAAAGCTTGAGCTTTTATTTTTCCGTTGGAGACCAGAGTTTGATGGCTTGTGTGTGTGTGTTTTGTTCTTTTTTTTTTTTTCTCCATTGTGTCTTGTCAACCCTGCCCTTCCCCCTCCTGTGCTGCTCCCCATTTCCTACAGAACGACCTGCAGCAATACCATTGACCTGCCGATGTCCCCCCGCACTTTAGATTCATTGATGCAGTTTGGAAATAATGGTGAAGGTGCTGAACCCTCGGCAGGAGGGCAGTTTGGTAAGTATTTGGTTGGCAGACGTTTGTCCTACGAGGGAAGTCAGTCCCCTTTGTGTGGTGCTCACATGTGCAGAGCCAAGAGTTGGTCACCCAGAACGGTAGAAGGAGGTTCTAGAGCAGCGCTGTCCAACAGAAATGGAAGGCATGCCACGTGTGTAAGTGTAAATGTTCTAGTAGCCACATTAGAAATAGGTTAATTTTCACAACACATTTAACCCAATAAACCCAACATACTGTCATTTCATACGAAGTCTTTGAAGTCCACTGGGCTTTTGACAGCCACAGCACATTTCAGCTTGGACGAGCCACCTTTCAAGTCAGTAGCCGTGTGTGGCTTGAGGCCGTGGTGTTAAACAGGCAGGAGACTAGACGGCAGCGTGGCCTGAGCCCTGGCCTCTGAGGGGCTGCGGGTGTGCCGGCCAGCTGCAGAGGGCAGGCGACTGAACTGGCTTTCCCTGTCTGTCCCTCCAGAGTCCCTCACATTTGACATGGAGTTGACCTCGGAGTGCGCTACCTCCCCCATGTGAGGAGCTGAGAACGGAAGCTGCAGAGAGCTAGGACCGAGGCGCCTACCTGTGTTCCGCCACCCCTTACACAGCCAAACCCCAGATCATCTGAGACTCCTCACTTTGTGGTTCCAGATTTTTTTTTTTTTTTATCTCCTACTTCTGCTATCTTTGAGCAATCTGGGCACTTTTTAAAATAGAGAAATGAGTGAATGTGGGTGATACGCTTTTATCTAAATGCAAATAAGAATGTGCTGAGACCGTGATCAGGGGATGTGGAAGGGGGTGGCTGAGGGGGAAAAGGAAATGTCTTGTGTTTTTTGTTCCCTTGCCCTCCTTTCTCAGCAGCTTTGTGTTGTTGTTGTCAGACAAGTGCCTCCTGGTGCCAGTGGCATCCTTCTGCCTGTTTCTGTAAGCTAACGCCACAGGCTGCCTGTAGCTACATACTCCTGGCATTGCACTTTTAACCTTGCTAACATCCAAATAGAAGATAGGACTATCTAAGCCCTAGGTTTCTTTTTAAATTAAAAAATGAGAGTAATTAAAGGGCAAAAAACATTGTATCAGCGTAGCCTTTCTGTATTTAAGAAAACTCAGTTAACAGCCTCCTTGGTGCTTTAAGCATTCAGCTTTCTTAAGGCTGATAATTTATGTAATTCCTGAGATGGGCTTCAGATTAAACCCTAAAAAGACATCTGAAGCTGCAGCCTGGGCTTCGGTATTGAAATAGGAAGGTTTGGGGAGAACCTAAGCATTTTAGCCTTTTTTTATAAACATATTTTTATTTTCCCCATAACATGTTGGCCTTTTGGTGGGTAAGGCTGGGCAGAGGGTGCCGACACCTTACTTACTCCCTTCTTCCGTGGACTTCGGCTCCTGGTTCAGAGCCTGGGCGGTTTCTGTGGGTGCCTTACCAGGGCCAGGATGATTCTGCTTCCTTCCCCCTCAGGCTGCCTGACCGTGCGAGTGGCATGGAGCCTTCTAGTGTCTAAAGATCCCTTGTCCTATTGCTTTGGGAATCCCGATCTCAGGACCTCATGAAAGAAGAGGGAGAGAGTTGTAGGTCGAACGTGACTCAGACTATGGGGCCCCAGCGAAGTGTCTAGTTGAGCTCAGGGAATACAGTTCTTACCCCAGTTTCTTGGTGATTCCCAGCAGCACCTGTAATTGCCCCTTCGCTTGGCCAATGCAGGGTAAAGCTCACTGTAAACCCGAGGTCTCCCCTCATGTAGGAGTGTACACCCGGCCTCCCCCCGAGGCTGGTGACTGTCTCCTTCCCACAGGGGCCCTCCAGGTGAGGCAGAACCACCTATGACCTTCCACATGGTCTGTGCCTCAGCCACTCAGCTCACCTTTACCATGTATTTTGGAACACTTAGCATGTGATAGGTTGGCCTCTCTGACCCAGAGGCATGGCTAGATTTGGCCACACAAAACTACTTTGCCTCAGTTGATCAGAATTTCCATGGAATTCTATTAGTTAGACCCAAATTAGCTAGTTTCTGAATTAGGGAGGAGAGGACCTTCTCTCTAAGACCAACAGGGTTCCCCATGGCCATCCCTGTCCTGCTGCCTGGAAAGGGTTGATGTGTGACACGGAGTTCTCCCTTCTCCAGCAACGCTCTTTAGTACATGATAAGCTTAACTCGTGAGCTGAGAGCGTATCTAGAAAGGTGAGACTTGGGCTTACCACTGGGTTTAAGTCACAGGGATCTAGGGCAAGGGTTTGGGCTTCTCCGGAGCAGACACTGTCAAGTTCACAGCTGTAGGTAGCATGTATATCTGGTTTTAACTCTGATTGTAGCAAACGTTCTGAGAGGAGCTGAGACTTGTTTCCCTCCCTTAAAGAACAGGGTCCTCAGGACCTGTCCGCTTTCTCTCCACCCCCGCCAGGTCGAGGCATTCCCGTGGATCGCTTAACCTACCTATGAGGTGGTTTGTAAGCTGCTGTCCTGGCCACTGCATTCAAATTCCAATGTATACTTCATAGTGTAAAAATTTATATTATTGTGTTTTTGTTTTTTTTGTATATTGCTGTATCTACTTTAATTTCTAGAAATAAAAGTTATATAGGAACCATCTGATAGCATGGCAGCTCTGTCTGGCTGGTGGTGGCTCCCTTTTCCCCTTCAAGTTCTGAGGGGACCTCACACATGGGTCGGGCAGGGATAGGAGCAGAAAGGGTCTTGAGAGGAGACGCTGCCTTAGCGCCTCATTCCTGAGCTGACGCAGGCCCCCCCTCTTATGTCAGCCACCAGCCTGGTACCTGGAGGAGCAAGGGGTCATAGTTCAGGGCCAACAGTGTCAGTGGAGGCTTCCCTCGCCCCTCCCATCCAGAGCTGCTGTGTCCTGTCTGGAGTCAGATAAGCTACCTAAGGGGGCTGGGGTGTAGATACTCCCACCCCAGGCCCCAGTGCCTCCCCTTCCACAGTTGGTGCCTTTATCACTTCAGTTCACAGTGGGGACAGCACGTAGACATTTCACCGGCTGGTCGCCATGGGCCCCTGGGCGGTGGGCAGCGATAATTCAGGGAAGCGGGCTGCGACCTCAGCTACTTCAGCTACTTCAGCTCAGCTTCTCCCCACCCCCTGCCCTCTAGCCAGCGCCATGGAGACCGGCGCTGCCTCAGACGCGAGCGCCTTCGCCTTCGAGCAAGCGCCTTCCCTCGCAGAGAGCAGAGATGGAAGCGGAGATTAGTGCTGCGGGCGCCCGCTTCCCTCCCTGCCACCCACCACCCCGCCAGCCCCGGGCCCCTGCCCTCCTCCAGCACGGAAGAAACCTGCCCGCGGGGCCTCACTCCCCAGCCCCTCACCCCGAGGTCCCCAGGGACACCCCGGACTAGCTGCAGCTTGGCGCCAGGGTGTCCAAATGAGAGACCCGTCCTCCTGCCTCCACCCGGCCTCCCTCAGGGTCAGCTGTTTGAAAACACAGCAGCTGCTGGATGGTGCCACCTGCTGGTCCCTGGAAGAGGCCAGGGAGGGCGGGACTGCTGCTGGTTCTCACAGCTGCCCGGCCCCAGAGGGTGGAGAGCCATCTTGGCGCTGGTCCTCAGCCCCCAGCTTTGAGGCCGCTTACAGCGGTAGCTACTGAGGGGAGGCCGGACCACAGTCCTGCCCGGCCCCAGGGCTCCCTCCCCAGGGGTTCCTGCCCCATCTTTTCCTGAAAAACCTCGAGTTCCCTGCTTTCTTGGGAATATATGGCCCCCAGCCTAGTGCCTTCGCCTTCTGAGAAGCACTGACAGTATTCCAGGGGTGGTTGGCACCCTTAAAACCAGAGAAAAGGGAGCAGAGTTGTAACTTCAGGCTAAAAGTTGACACCGTCAGCCACACAGGAGGGGCGGAACAAAACGACTCCAGCTCCAGGGATCCCCAGTTCTACCAGCTCCCCAAACCAGGAGCCACAGCAGCAGATTTATGAAAAAAACATTTTATTCAAAAACACTTACACAAATGTGTGGTCTTTGTACAAACTACAAAAGACTCCCTCTCCACATCCCCACCTCCCTTCAGAGATGTTTAAGCCTGGGACTCGGGTCAGCTGCCCCTGGCTGTGGGCCGCACCGCCTCAGAGGGAGGGTGTGGGGCTGGGAGCAAGGCCGCCTCAGACCACAGCCCGTTATGCAACAGCGGAGGCCTCTTCCAGGTCCCACCTCCCAGGGGAGCCCAGCGAGACCAGCTTTTAGCCCTCACTCCAGATTCCGCAGGCACGCAGCAAGTGGCTGCCTGGCCACTTGTCTCTTGCTGCAGTTTTTTTTCCAGGAGGGAGGGGATCAGCTCTGCAAGTCCCAGGTCCCCTGTTCACCCACCATGTCCTAGACGAGTCCTTTCCTCCTCTCCAAAAAGCAAGGTTGCAAACAAAAAGGCAAAGAAAGAAGGTCAGGCCTGATGGGAGGGGAGGGGATCCAGGTGGAAATTCTGGGGGCAGACTTGAAGCCCAACCTCCTGGTTCAAGGACAAGAGGCCAAGTACAAACTCAGAGCAGCCGAGACCGCCTTCACTCAACCCAGCTCCACCGTGGTAAGGGCATGACCATGGGCCGAACTCTCAGAGGGGTCACAGAAAGTCTGGAGTCCACGTTCACTAAAGTATAAAGTATTACTCAAAAACGAGCCCCAACCTCCCTCCTGAGGGAAAGAATCAATCAGACCAACACTTGTGCGTGAGGACAGCTGCACAGACATAGACAAGTATACACTTGGGAGGGCGAAGCTTCTCAGGAGTGAGACTTTAGCTTAGAGACGCTGTCTCCTTTCCCTTCTTGGATAATTTCGTTCAGATAGCTGCCGAGCAGAGGATGGAAACAGGAGGGACAGGCTTGCCTGCACTGAGCACCCGCAGTGACAGAGGCTCAGTCTCTTCCACGACGGAGACAGACCCAGCGGCTCCTGGATGCCTGGATCTGAAGATGGGCCGCTGCTGCTGCTGCTGCAGCACACACCCAGGCCCGCGCAGGCAAGGCAGGCACGCCTCGTGCACAAGCACATACAGGCGCACGCATCCCCGTGCTGCCTGCGAAGGCATCAGTATGCACAGCAATTCTAAAATCACAATTAATATGAGCTCTCCACATTGAATATCGTTTCCCAAGGGAAGCGTGGGATTCGAACATTCAGGAGAGGGAGCCTCTGGCAGGAGTGAAGAGAACAGCAGGCGGGGAGAGGCGAGGGCCAAGATTGTCTATGGGTCGGCGCAAGAGCTCCTCCACGTGCCGCGCTACATCCATGCTCTCGTCCAGGTCAAATTCTCCGTCCTGCTCAAGGACAGGGTCAGGGCTGGTAGAGAGAGAAGGATGTCAAAGGCAGCTGGCACGTCTCGCAGCCCCAGCCCTGGGGGGCAGCCCCTCCTGCTCCCCACTCAAGCCAGTCTCATGAGAACAGGACTAGTCCTGGCCAGACGCCCCCAGCCCCACCCCAAGCTGGGTAGCAGTCAGCCACTGGCTCCTGGGGAGACGCCCTAGTCTACTCACACCTCATCAAATGATCTTAGGGAATCCATTTCCCCTCTCTCCTTGTCCTCATCTGTAAAGCCAGGTGGCTGGGCCAATGAGCCCTGCCTACCTGCGATGCTATTCACTTAAACTAGGCACCACACTATTCGCCAAGCACCTACAGCGGGCTGGGCCTATAACCACCGTATTCCAATTATCACAGCCACCTGTAATGTAGGCATTCACCCCACTTTATAGAGGAGGAAATTGAGACTTGGCCGTGTTAGGAAACTTGCTCTGGGCCACCTGGCTGTAGGTGGTGGGATCAGGATTGGAATCTGGGTCTTTGTGACTCCCAAGCCTTGGTGGTCCCACTGGAGTTTGCTGCCACCCAGACATGCAGCCCAGGCCACCCCTAGTAAGACACAGAATTTGTTTTCTACCCCATTCCCACCTGACTCTTACGGAGAAGCACCCTATAGCTGCCTGTATCTGGCCCTCACAACAGCCTCCCTGTCCGAATGCTTTACCTGCACCGTCTCATGTAATCCTCACCCCATCTCATGAGGTAGGTGTTCCTGCCTCATTTTACAGATGAGGACACTGAGCATCAGAAAGGCCCAATAATTCTCCTAAGGTCACCCAGCTGGTCAGCACTGTAGTGAGGACCGGCTCCTGCAATGTCTAGCTTCAAAATGCTCTCTGTGTTTTCCTGGCTCATCTTGCTCTCCCAGCACCCAGGCCTTGCTCAGACCTAGAGGAGCCCTAGATTCCTTTGCCCACCACCCCTGCGGACCCCCATGAGAACACCACCTACTTCGGTGGGTACATGTTATAGTGAGGCTGGGGGCACACAGATGGGGAGGGCGCATGGTCCATGTACGTGGCGCTGGCCCCGGCGTCTGCAGACACGTTCACAAACCTGCAGGAGGAAGCAGGACAGAGCCTCAGCCACCAGGGAGGGCAGGGGGTGCTGACCTGGGAGGGCAGGGGAGGGCGTTGGGGGGCATCTTTATGTCTTTCTCGGGGTGTAGGGGATGAAGTGCCCCACTCGGCCCTGGGGCTCTGGCTGCAGGACTGGGCCCTGGGTACTGGCCACAGCACAACCAAGCCTAGGTCCCTCCCTGGGGCCGAGTCAGGTTTCCTGGGGTGGGGGATTGGAATGTGGGGGCCCAGGAACAGGAGAGACGGCAGTGTCTGGGGAGAAGACAGGCGGGCGGAGAGCCAGAGCCGGGCCCTGGACACTTACTCAGGGACCACTTGCTTGATCTGTGGCTTCACGTATCCGTCACCTGCTTTACCTGCCAAAGGGAGAACGGTGGTGAGAACCAAACTCTCTGGGAAGTCCCAGGTGGGGTGGAAGCCCACCCCTCTGCAGTCTGCCTCCTGCCAACACCACCCTGGGGCCTCAGCAGGGATGACATTTCCCAAGGACTCTCAAAAAACACCTGCTGATGGATCCAGTCTGAGGGTCCCCGAGACCCCGGCTTCAATGCCAGTCCTACCCCTGGTTCCTATTCTGGCCATTTGCTCGCTCTCTCCCTGCCCTGACCCCTGCCGAACTAGAAGCAAACCCAACCAATGGGTCTGGGACAGGCTGAAGAGGAAAAACCTATGCCCCTTTCATCTCACACTCAACTTGGGGGGAGGTTTGAGGGTGGGGAGTGGAGACGGCAGCCGGCTCAGGTGGGAGCAGAGCAGGGACTGGGCGTGAACTGTCCAGGCGCTGCCCGGCTCCCTGCGAGGGTGCAGAAGTGAGAATCCACGCAGCTTTCCCTTTGCCCACAAGCGAGCTGGGATGGGTTTCACTTTCCCTCTCCTCAACTGAGAGCCCTCAAACCCTCTCCACGATCCCATGGGCCAAAACCCACAGGGGGAACAGCCCCTGGGCTCTTCCCAGGGAACCCCCCTGCCCAGACCACGGGCTCCGTCTATGGGCTGGGGGAGACCCAGGGGGACCAGGCAGCAGGGCCCTGGGGTGGGACCCACCGAGCACAGGAGTGTAGTACTTGGAGAAGACCTCATCCTTGGGGCGGTCGGGAAACACGTAGATGAGATAGCTCAGGTCCCCCAGCCGGTCAGCCAGGGACCTGATGGAGAAATCCCGAGTGGTGAACGGTTTCAGGTTCCACAGGTTGCGGTCCGCTGCGAAAAGGACAACTTCATTCCCACAACCACTGCCAGCAGGAGGGCCAAGGTTGTGGGGGTTTCAGGCCGACTTGGGAGAAATCCGGGCTGTTACCAGCCTGCGCTGCACGAACATTCTACTCGGCACCTGGGCGAGTAGACACAGACAGGGCTGGTCGTGGCAGAGGAGAGGGCACGAAGCTGCCGGAGGACTCGCCCAGGAGCTCTGGAGTCTACGGGGTGGCGATTTTACGTTCTCCCAAATGGAAAATGATAGAAAGGGAATACATTTCCAAGCAACACTCCTCCCACACCGAGCCCAGCCCCCAGCTTTCCCGGTGGGCACCTTGTGAGAACGCAGGCCTGAGGGAGGGAGGGTGCGGAGCAAGGGGACGGGAGCCAGGGCCCTGGGGCTGCACGTGGACAAAACGGGCACTCACGGGAGTCAAACTTCCAGGCAATAGTGATGCCCCCAATTTCTGAGTCGCTGAAGCGCAGCAAGAAGGTCCCATCAGGCTTGTTGATGAGCAGGTCATGGGCCTGCTGCTTATTGACAAAACCGAGGATGGCCCTGGTGCACAGAGCATTGAGTGTCACTGCTGGGCCAGCAGCCACTGTTCCCAAGCCAAGGCTGGCCTCTTGGCCCCCATGGTGCCCGTTCCTCACCCGTCATTCCAGTGGGGTTTGTGGTGCTTCTTCAGCACCTCCATCACCCCGTCGAACCACTGCCAGAAGGTGTAGTTCCAGCCTGGCAAGTTCTCCTGAGGGCCCCCGGGAAACCCCGAGTCAGGGCTGCTGTCCCGGGTCACAGGGGGCCCAGGAAATGCAGTGCCCTCTTGTCCCCACCCAGCCTTCTAATTCCTCACCCCTACTGGCCCCCACACTCTGGCATTCCACAAACTCGTGTCCTTGGGGCCCAGAGAATAACCTCACCTCACTCCTAGACACAGGCGCCCAAGACAAGCCCACGGGTAGGAGTGGGAGGTGTGAGGATGGGACCTCCAGAGTCATTCCTGCCCCCTCCCCTCATTTTACAGATGGGGAAACAGAGGCACAGAGGAAGGAAGGAAGGAAGGGGCTTGGCAGATCAGTGAACAGGTCTAGGACTAGAACCCGCAGATCCTGACTCCCTGGGCTCTGGGTTCTTCCGTCATCCTGCTCTGGCTCTCACGGCTGAGCAGCCCCCACCTGCATTTCTGGGGTCTATGAGCCCCCGTTTCTCCTGGTGGTGGGAGAGGGTGGGGTGCTAGCCCCGGGCAGTAACCTGTGAGGCAGGGCAGTGACAGGACCCCATGAGCCAGGGCGGGCAGCTGAGGGCCCGGGCTCCTCACCCTGTTGAACTGGGACCAGGACACGGACATGTTGCTGTAGTCCTCGAGGTGGCTGCTGCTGTTGTTGAACAGTTTCTGCGCCAGGAACACGAGGTTCTCCTTGGTCAGGCCCCGGTTGCTCTGCACTTCGGCCTTGAATTTCATGTTGAGCGCCTCACACAGCTGCGGCCACAGCACTTTGTCAGGCACGGCGAATGGCACCCTGCCCTGAGAGGGAGGGAGAATGGGGAAAAAGGCAGATGCAGGGAGTTAGTAATGTTTACACACGCACGTGCACACACAGGAGATACACAGACACCAAGAGACGGGGGACTGAGAAAGATCCAGAAAGGCGACACAAACACAGGGGAAAGGAAGTGGGGGTGGGGCAGAGGAGGGCTGAGCATGCAGGCTAGAGACCGGGGACCCCAGCCACAGCCGAAGGAAGATCCGAGACCAGGGCCCAAAGACCAGGCCCCCAGACCCCAGAGACTCCAGTCCAGAAACCTGCAACCCAGGCAGAGCCCGATGACACGCCCGAAGGCAGGCGCCCTTCCCGGCTCACCTTAGGTCTGGTCTGGCCTGGGTGGGGAACAACCACTCAGTAGGGGCCCAGGGGTGGGGCTGACCCCAGGAGAGTCCTGGGGCCTGGGGGGCTGAGGTGGGGGTCCCGAGGGCCTCACCGGCTCAGCAAAGGCGTTGTCCCACAGCACGGTGGCCGTGGCATTGTGGTCCTGGCTGCCGTGGACGATGACAACCACTGGTAGGGACAGAGTCTACAGGAGTGAAGGGAATGAGAGTTGAGGGGGTATGACCACCATCTGCCCTCCGCTTAGGCAAGACACCAACCCCCCTGCCTCACCCGCAGTGCCCACCACAAGCCCCTCCCAACAAACCTAGGCACAAGCAAACAAAAAAATACAACCTATTTCTTCTGAGCCCTTTGCCTGAATTGTGTGGGCTAGTCCCAGGCGACAACTTAGCACACAGGTACCCGCAGAGTTAAAGAGGGTTTCTCAGCATCACGGGGTCACTGGCCGGAGACGCACGTGAGGACTCACAGCTCTCTGGCCTCCCCAAACCAGCCAGGTGGCCCCAGACAGACCCCTTCACCTCTCTGGGTGACCTGCAGGGATGGAAGGGCTGGGGGCGGGGACACTCACCTTGACCTGGAACACAAGCTCATTGCTGCCAACACTGAACTGAGACTCAAACAGGACAGTGAACTTCTCCTCTGTCACGGACTCCGCGCCCCGCCGGTCAGCACGCTTGATCCTCTTCAGCGACTGCAGAGCGGGAGGTCAGAGGGGGACAGGGAGATGGCGGCGGCTTACAAGGACTCCGCTCTGGGCAGACCTTCCCTGCAGGGCTAGGCGCTGTCCTCACCATGTTCCTGAAGTGGGCGCTGAGGGTGCCCGTGGCTTGGTGATACTCCATCACGCAGCAGTTGTTCAGGATCTCCCCGCTGCACTCGCTGCAGAGGACGGGGGAGGCCCAGCTCCACGTGGGTCCGGGCCAGGAGCAGGGTCCCCTCCGTGCCTTGGGCTGGGGTCTTTCCTCTGGTCAGCCCTGCCAGCAGCCCGTGCCCTCCACCCCCAAGAACATTCCTCAGTGTCTCTCTGCCCATCGTCCTGAGAGTACCCAAGACCAGGTCTCCAATGGTAAAGTCTGGATCTCTGTCATTAGCCTGAAATTCCTTCGGCACTGAGATTAATGTGGGGCCTCTGGAGACTTCTGGTAGCTTCTGGTTCACTTAAAATAAAAGTCTTAGCCACAGCCTACGAGGACCCCCATGATCAACCCCTGCCCACCTTCCTGGCCTCACTGAGCTCCTCTCCCCTCAGTGTGGACACGCAAACCACACTGGCCTTGGCTGTCTGCTGAACAGGCGAAGCTTGGTGCCTACCTCAGGACCTTTGCACTTGTTCTTTCTGTCACCCCAAACACTCCCGAACTTTTCCTCCTTCGGGTCTCAGCTCAGAGATCCCCTCAGAAACAGCCCCCTTGTGCACCTACCTGCTGTTGCTCACCATGCCAGCCTCCACCAACCCAGCCCCGAACACACATCCAGATGCCAGGATAGCACCCTATTTTAATTTTCTTTCTTTCTTTTTGATACAGAGTCTCACCCTGTTGCCTTGGCTAGAGTGCCGTGGCGTCAGCCTAGCTCACAGCAACCTCAAACTCCTGGGCTCAAGCGATCCTCCCGCCTCGGCCTCCCAGAGTACTAGGATTACAGGTGTGAGCCACCACACTCAGCATGTTTTAATTTTATTTCTAGAGTTTATCACTTGTTGGTGCCGCCTTATTTTTCAAAGTGCATTATTGTCTTTCTCCCCAGCTAAAATGCAGGCTCTAAGAGAGTGGGAGCCTTGTTCATCTTCTTCCTCATTGTATCCCCAGACCGCGTGGCAAGCACTCAGTAAACATTTTTAATTGGATGACAAAGTCAAGTCTCCCACATCGCTCATTCACTCACTCACTCATTCATCCACTGCATACTTTGCGGGACACCTGCCCTGACCCTGGACCCCTCCAGCCCCTTCTCTGGCCACTAGATTCTTTCTCTGTATTCCTCCCTCAGGTCATGGCACATGTTCTCTCCGCCCCTTGTCACTAGCTACCTCCATTGAGCTGGCAGCCTGAGACTAACCATCCTCTTTTCATTCCTGCCCCATGACGCCCTCCGCGTGCCCTGTGCATCTCCCTGGTCACACGGCTACCCCAGTACTCGTTTCTCACTGTCAGCCGCCTGCTCTGCTAGTCCACAGCTTGGGCAAGGAGACAGTCAAGCTCTGTTGGGATCACAGTTGCGTCCCCTCCACTTAGCACAGGTACTGGACCATTAAGCGGCAAAATACTTACTGACCTACTATGTGCAGAGCACAGGCAAGGCCTGGGGAAGGCTTCTGAGGAGGAGGAGTGTAGTAAACCCTGTGTCCTTGATGTATGACGAACCCACTTACAATTTTTCAATTTTACTGTGGCGCGAAGGCCACTCAGCAGAAATAGGAACGATACTCTCTCTGATGCCAGGCGGTGGCAGCGAGCCGCAGCTCCACTGGGCTGTGTGATCGCCAGGCAAACAACCGATACCCTGCAGGCGACTATGTTCCCAGATGACTTTGCCCAACTGTAGGTTAATGTAAGTGTTCTAAGCACATTTAAGGCGAGGCTAAGCCATGATGTTGCGTGTTTAGGTGTCCTAAATGCGGTTTTGACTTACGATATTTTCAGCTTACAATGGGTTTATCAGGATGTAACCAAATTGTAAGTTGGGGAGCATCTATGTACAGGAACAGAGTAAACTAGGGAGACATGAACATGTCTATATCCCGGGACAAAGGACAAAAGGGAGGGAGGCAGGACTGTCCCCAACTGCATAGGACCCCAACAGCTACAGAATAGAAGCAATCCCCAAACCCGAGCTTGGGGAGAGGCAGGCAGTGGGAGGGAGAGGCACAATTACTTGCGGGTGTTCTCGTTCTTGAGCAGGGACTTGGCCTGCTGCTCGCTGATGATGGTGGCCTTCACCTGCGGGGGGTTCATGTGCACATTCAGCTTCCCGCCCACCAGCAGGCGCACGGTGGCGGCGAACTTGGTCTGGGTCTTCAGGACCTGAGGGGGCTGCTTCTCGATGATGAACGTGCTGCGGGGACACAGTGACCACATGGACCGTGAGACGCTGGCTCAGGGAAAGGGCTCCAGGGCCCTCTGTGTGTTGGGGGCGGGGGCTGCCTCCCACGGGCTCAGCAAGTGAAGGAACAGCACGTGGCACAGCACTGCTCCCTGGGAGGCAGGACATGGTGGGGAGGGGGAGGCACAGGGACTCAGCAGCTGGCAGGGGCTGCAGGGCCTGAGGGGACCTCTTGTAGTGTCCACAATACACACTGGGCAAGGGTGGCGCCAGAAGCCACAGCAACTGGAGAAGGAGCGGGCAGGGGCGCGAGGCAGAGAGGCAAGAGGGAAGCAGAGCTCCTGGGCCAGAAAGCCCTGCTGACCCCACACCCCCTAACCGCCGCGACGGGAGCTGGCCCTGCCCTGCTGGGTATGGCCGAGAGGCAGCAGTCACCTGGTCACCAGGGCTGAGATGATGTCTGTGATGGTGGCATTGACCTCGGCCAGCATCTCCTCCACTGGCCCGGGGATGGGCAGCTGCTGGCAGAGGTGCTCAGCCCTGCGGATCTGCTGCCGGTTCTGCCAGATGATCTCGGCCAACTTCTCACACCTGCACGAGAGCCGCAAGGCCAGCAGGAGGACGATGGCTTCTCCTCCAGACCCCAGGCCGGGAGCCTGGGAGGCTCCCAGCCTGGGCAGAACCCCCAAGACACAGCTCCACCCTCACCCAGCACTAGGTGTTGTGCTTTTCCCGCGCCTCCTACCCACTGGCGCAGAGCAGAGCTCCCTGCCTTCCAGAAGTGCAGAGAAATACACAGAAGAGTGACCCTGACTTAAGTCCAACCAGCTCAAGCCACACTCTGCACACGCCAGCCCTGCCCCGTTCCCCAGGACAGTGACTCCCCTCCTGGGGGAGGTGGCACTGATGGGGGACCAAGGTCTGTATCAGGAACCAGGCCCAATGGTGAAATAAGAGCCGTCACAAGGCAGAGGGGGCCTGCTGCACGTGCCAGCGCAGCAGGAGGAAGCAGCTGGTGCCACCCCCCCGCCCCTGCCCCACGAGCCCCCGCCCCATGCCCATTACCAGGACTGCAGCACGTCCAGGCTGCCCTCGGGGGGCCCGCCGTTCCCGGCCAGCTGCTGCCGCCGCTTCCACTGGATCAGCTCGTCGTCCAGAATGATGGTCTGCTGCTTCCGCAGCAGCTGCAGGGTCTTCTGGTGCTTCTCGGCCAGCTCCTGCAGACAGGTGGGGACAGCAGGCCCTGCTGGGCTCCCTCACACAACTCTGCAGGGCCCGGGGCCCAGGCCTCCCCTGACCTGCTCCCCCTCACACGCCCCCCAGGAAACACGGATCTGGACCCCTGCTCTCCTGGGTCCCGCTCTCGTCCTGGCTCTATCCCTCTGTCGGGTCCCCAGAGACTCAGGACGGGGCGCTCCATGCCTGGGAGGAGGGACCGGCAGCCCACTCACCACGCGGTACTGCTGCAGCGTCTGGGCCTCGCGCTGCAGCCAGGCCTCCAGGGACACCTGCTTCTGCTGGAGGGCCGTCTCCCGGCTCAGACGCTCCTGGGGGCTCAGCTGGGCCAGCTGGGCAAACTGGGCTAGAGGACGAGACAGGACACCACGGCCGTCATCTCCCAGCGTCCGGCAGGAGCCCCGAGGAGCCCACTCACCTGTTCTGGGGCAGGACTCT